ATGAGGGAGAAAGGCGGATAGGTGGATTCCCCGCACCGCACACACAAACGCCCGCACACACACACGCCCGCACACACACACACGCCCGCACACACACACGCCCGCACACACACACGCCCGCACACACACATGCCTGCACACACACACGCCCGCACACACACACGCCTGCACACACAGCACTCAATTTCGCCTGTAATCTGTCATCTTGCCCCCGGTTTTAATTCCTGTTAACTGCATTGTCACATGCCATCGCTTCATTCATTTTAATGGAATCGAATAACAGTGCTGCCTGGCTGCCCTCTCACAAGGCCGCTTTAATTGGAAAGAGCGTTTAAAAATAAAGCAGGGAAAAGTCCAGCCTACGGACACGGCAGGGTGACGGCGGCCCGCGAGCGGCTCCGGCACGAGCAAAGTGTCCCCATCTTACAGAGCAACACTAATTATTCATACCATACACCCTCGCTGAGTGGATATATCATTCTGGGTTTTATAGTTAGGCACCAAACCCAGAAGACAGGAGGGATAAGTCTCGCGGCTAAATGTTAAAAATAACCAAGCTTTCGGGTTTGTGAGCTTGCTAACTCGAGATCTTTAGGCAGAAAACTTCAGCACCCTGAAATCAGCAGGACACATCTAGGGCCACATTACCAGGCTACAGATGGCAGCGGTGAAGAAGACCCCGCCCATGGTGGCTTTCTCTGATTGGCTGATTTTATTATACAGGAAAAATAAAAATAAAATGGGGATAAATGCTGGTGGAAAAGGCTACTCACTGTTCTTCAGTGCGTCAGTGAAGTCTGCTCCACCTCTGGCCTTGAACTCTGGGAAAGTGTGCGACTGGGGCAGCTGATTGGCTGTCAACAGAGCCTTCTGCAATTTGATTCGTCCTTCTAGAAGCTGGTCCCAGAGAGCTGGAGAGTCAAAAGCATGACAGGAGAAATGAAGGTTCAAGTGATACAGCTTTTGGAAATTCAGCAGCAGAGGTGAAATTCAGACATACATACCAAGCTGATTCTTCACGGCTTGCCCCTTTTCCACTTCCTCACTGACCTTCGCCGTGGAGAAGGTCATCACAGCACCATCATCCTCATCCAAGTCATCCTCTTGCATGTCCTCCTCTGTTTCCAGTTCTTCGCTTTCATCTTCCTCTGTCCCTTCATCCTCTTTGTCTTCATCCTCATCCTCCTCACTGTCCCCAGCATCATCCATACCTTCGGTTAGCTTGCGGAAGTCTACATCAGCGGGGAAGGTAATGTCCGTCTCCTTCATCTTCTTCACCAGGGTCTTCATGGTGGTTGCTTCTGCTGTGCAAGCAGTAAAGCTCTCGGTATCCTCTTCACTCTCATCATCCTCTTCATCCAAGTCCCGCTCCACCTCCTCATCACTGAGGTCTTCACTCTCATCGTCTTCATCAGCGTCCTTACTTTCATCTCCTAAAAAAAGGTACAGCAAAAACTCCATTTAAAAAAAACACCTTCCCTAATCATTAATTTTACTAACCAATAGAAAAAGTGGGCAGGACATCGGGAAATCTGGACCACAATGTGTGAATGAATTTTTATGGACATGGGACTGTCCCAAGGTCAAATGAGAAATGCAAAGCTTCTCTCATCTCCCTGCAGCTCACAGGTGTCTGACCAGCCAACCTTCACAGTCAACTCAGCACTCATCAGCAGCCAGAGTGACAACGCAGGAGGGATTAGGGCGAGCAGCCACCATGCTCGCTAACCAAAGTAAATTAATCGTCTAATAGGTTTAAAATTGATTAGCAATGTCTCCAGTCTGACTTGCAAATCTCTGCCTTAATCCAGGTATCTCCCTCTTAGGATAAGCGGGGATTTTGTTAATTAACAGCAACGTGAGGCACTTTCTGTACAGTAACAGAGAAACAAACAGCTGGAGCTTCAATTACAGCACAATGGGACATCTGTCTGCCCCCCCCCCACCCCTCCATCAAGCTGATCATGGGTTCTGAGTGGAGATCAAATGTCCAATCACTTATGATCAATAGGTCGCTTGCTACTGTAAAAGCAACTTCTTCGCCAGATCCAATTCCTTACACTTTCCTCATCAGTCTCTATAATGTCTTCCCATCTGACGTTTAACCATCCGCACTGATCTAGCGACGGGAATTTAACATACACTCATGACACAAGTTAACACATCCATCCCATNGACTTACCAGAAGATTCAGTCTCCTCCTGCAGCTTCCTACGCGACGTCACCCTGCCCCGGTACCGCCGGTCCGTATCGGACAGCGGGGCGGAAGCTCGTTTCCGCAGGCCGCTGCTACTTTCGTCTTCGTTTTCTCCCTCGTCGAACGCCTCTATCACCTTGGCTCGGGTCTCTGCAAGGTGTGGGGATGGAGGCCAGGGGTGACTTTTAGCAACACACAGGCTCTACCAAAAAGCGATTTGTTACTTAATGAATCCTATTAAGACAAATGTATGAAGCAGGATCATGGGCTGAGGCATAAGCCAGTAAATAATGAATGGATTCAAATATTGAATCTTGGGTTTTCCTGTTCAAGTACCTCACAAATGGAACCACTGGCGTAATACATTTTATATTACTTTTTAAAGTTAATTATTTAAGGTCTACTGTGGCATTATTTATGCGTTTGTATATCCATTTTTATCAAACGACTCCATCAGTAATAGCTCTATATCATTCTTGTTCTTCTACCGCCTTTCAAAAAAAGATTAAAAATTAAATAAGGTAAAGAATGACCGCTTTGCTCCAAAAATACACATGCGCAGTCCCCAGACGAACACATCAAGACATTAATTGTTAGACAACAAATTCATGGCATTTACGATGATCCACCACCTCTTTTGAAAACAAATCAAATGCAAGCTGCTATTTCATTTGTATAAACATAACATTCCTGTCAGGTTTGCTACTTTATGGTTAGAAAATGGGCATTGCAAGTACCTAAGTATGGTTCAACATGGTAATAAATAATAATGAAAACACTAAGTCCTTCCTTATGATTACACCGCTGGCATGATATAAGCTCGTGAACCGACTAGAAGCCTCCTAGATACCTTAAGAAAATAAACCCATTATGAGTATTTAACCTGTTTTTAAAATATTTAACAAATAAAATTATTATTAATTCAGGTGTATTACAACTGTCTCCAGGGGAAGAATTATATGTAGATAAGACGCGCAATAGCGCATGTTCAAAATTTGAACAACAGAAAAAAAATAAACAAATTCAGCATATGATCTCGTATTATCAAAGCAGTTTTCAAATCTCGTTTATCGTAGTAGAAAAACAAAATAAATGCGGGAATGGTGCATTCCAAACACATGTAATCACACACAGTCGCTCCGAAAACCCTCGAAAATCGTCATAAGGCTGGTGGTCGCCATAAGGCGGCATCTTCGCCACTTCTCTCAGCTGCACTCCTCACCTCACTTACCGGGTCGGTCCCACCGCAAGCTCCACGAAGAGGGCAGCTACCCATCGGAGGATCAACAAGGTTTCGCCAAGCAAAAAACCAGTAACGATTTTCAACAAGCGATTTAAAGCCATTACGGAAATGGTGGATCCGCTATTAGAATCATGTTTTAAGCCCCTTTCCCCCGCTTGTATGTGCGGTTTCTTCTGTGCTGCCATCCTAATCTTTCGGGCAGGAGCGCCGGTATTCGTTCCACTAATTGCCTCCACGGAAATAAATATTCTATATCTTATTTAAAAATAGTATGTAAATGACAGACGTGGAAAAGAGCCCCCCACTCCAAATTTAACATGACGAGTTGTATAGAAAACAACAGGCAAAACGATATATTCTTTGTCAAATATGAATCCCTGTATAGATCTGATGTAAAAGTGCCGAAAGCGAGTCTATACAAAAGAAATAAAGTCTAGAGTCCAATCGACAGTACCATAAGAAAGCATCCTTCATCCTTTTTGAGAATGGGATGACAGCGAAAACATCTGATCAATATACGAGAATTTTTTTGATCGTTTTGGTGATAACACGTGAAAGAGTCCCGTCAAATTGCACTGTTACCTTGATGTATCCTGGATCATTCGGTGTTAGTTTTTTCCAATGAGAATAGTAACCAACCGCACGCGCTTTTACACTCTTCATTCGATTTATGTTTTGTATTATACATTCATAAATACCAATAAATTTAACTTTGAAACTATAACTCGCGTTCAATCCGAAAGGCTGTCATTAGTACTCCAAGTAATTTACTCTAGCAAGCACTACATTCTGCCACGCGTGTTCCTAAGATCATGCGAACAAAGCCATTTAATGAGCGCAAAAGACAGTTTTACATTCCTTTTTCTGCTTAATGTAGAATTACCAATATAAGTCGAAGTTTACCTTCATCCTGGTCGTCTTCTGGGTCCGCGAATTTTGGTAAGGGATTTAACAAATCTTCGAGCTGCTGGGCTATGGGGGCAGCCATTTTCCTTCAGCTACACGCGACACACGGCGCCGGATTACGTCATAAAAAATCGCCAGCGCGTTTCAACTGGTCGTTATTACAAGAAATGCTAATTGCTTTTTTAAACTTAGCTTTATATTTCTTTACTTGTTTATTCAATAAACTGGATTTGTGTGCGCAGTCTTTTATTTCAGTTTTAAGAATTTGTCATATGTCTAATTTTTTGTATCCTGTTATTTTTTTTATTCTAAATTTAAAATATTAAAACATAATTTGAAATAATTCAGTCCTCTTAAAGAGGATTTATAGTTAACATCTCCACAAGGTCAGCTCAATCCAGTACCCGATATTCAATCAATATGAATTTGAATTTAAAGAGTTGTGCCCTCCTGGGTCGAGGTGCATGGATTCAGCTGCGCGGTTAAGCCGCACGGCTCCGGAGAGCCACCCCCCCCCTGCCAAGCCCAAGCAGCACCGGGCCTGTTTAACTCTCAGGACCATGATTAATTCATAGGGGATTATGCGCTGGGCGCTGTGGAGGGACCAGTGGGCTTGTTCAAACTAAACCACACAGCGCAATGAGATAACGGCTTTTCCCCCTGGAAATGCACCGCACCCGGGTGCCCGCTTTGCTCTGCCCTTTCGCGCCTTTGAATAATTTTTACACTTCTTTGAAAAAACAAATCAATATGGCGCATTATACCATTTTTCATTTCGTAATTTAAATCGATTAAATAAAGAAAAAAAAGTCAAGTAAAGTTAACGCGCATTCACAATGCTTCGTGCCAGTTTCATTTTATTTATATTCTTTATATAGATGCTGGCGCTTCCTTGACTTGCAGGGAACTAAGAATCTGCACCGGTGTGTTGGTGCATTCAGAGAGACGCCTGTGAGAGCTTCGGTCATGCTGGGAGACACATAACGAGGAAGCCTCCATGCTCGTTTGCTTTCCTTACTGCTGTAAACAAAGGCGAGCGAGAGGCGGCGCAGCGTGGCCGCCGCCGGGAGCCCAGCTGGCCGGGAGACACGCGTCAAATAAGGTGTCGCTCTCACACTCCTCGATTCCGCTTCCCAGGCCCTTGGGTAAATACGAGCAGGGGGGCAGAAGAACAGCTAAATGTGGTTTCTGTACCATTAACTCAAATGTTACGTACAACAAAATCAGTCGGAAAGTAAGAAAGAGCAAAACTGTTGATCTGATATAAAATAGGGGAAACGTTTAAATAATACGTTTTATGGAATCACTGTTTGCTGTATTTTAAAGCAGCAGTCGTTGTTTCTAACCATGTGGGGCATTTTCCTCAGGATTCATCGCACCCCAGTCCGCTATCAGTGAAACCTCGATAAACACAAAGAGATTGACAGGTGCCACCGCAGCACGTTCAGCCATGGATGTACTTAGAATGCAAATCTCCCACGTTGGATTCTCAGGCAAATGATGCATCGCTAGATAAGGCTGCGTGCTATTCCACTACTGCTGGCCAATGCAGATTATCTTTTGTTACTTATTGTGCCAACATCTTAGAGAAGGTTGCGGTCTTATGAAAGTGCGTAGGCTGGTCTTCTGCTCTCCTCTGCAGGGATGCACAGGTGAAACGTGAGGGACAAATACTTATTTATGCGGAGGATAATCCAGCCCCTGCGCTCCCGTCATCCTTTATAACCGCGTGTTCTTTCGTTGTTCTGAGCATAAAATCGCCAGTTGCAACGTTAAGGTGCTTGATAGACCAAAGGTTAATGGAATAATAAACACCATAATAATTTATTCGTCTATAAGTATAATTCTTGTAATATATTTTGTTGTACACAGACCCTCACATATTCTAAACAAGATGAAATGGCAGACTAACCTTACCAAAGAAAGCCTTTTAACCATACGACGTTTATATTTTCTAGTTTTATTAAAAACTCACAAATCTTTCAACATGTTGTATTTATACAGTGAATGGTCTAATATGCACTGAATGGCACATAAGCTTAGGTTTATTAGAACAATTAAAGACATACCATGAGGGGCTTAATATTTAAAGAAAGTAGCAGCGTCGGGCTGCATATTCGACCATCAATTTTAATATTTTGGATTTTCTTTTAAAGACACAAAAATAAAACCTGTTGGTCTAAGTATGTTATTATATTAACAATTTTATGAATGTTTTTTTTTCAGCAGACTAGAAAATCAAGAAGTAAATACTTCTTTACTTTTTTTTAAACACTGACACTTGTTTCAACACGGTTTGCAGTTGATGGTGCAAAGCACTTATACAGTATTTGTGCTATGCCTTTATTTGGCAACTGTCTACTTACTTGTGTTTTTTTTTCTTTAAATTTTTTTTTGTAAACAACAATCTTATACAAACTAGCACAGTGAACCACAACCCCAGCAAACTTGTTTTTTTTTCATACAATATAAATAAAATCAATACAAAAGTTTGGTTGGTTGCTTGGAACATTTTTTTTCATCTGGATCAAGAGGTTCTAAAACATGGTTAATACTTTTAACTCCTGAATTAAATATATTACGTAAACAGTTGACTGTTCTAAGTCCCTTTCAGACCCCCGTTAAAAGACTTTTAGAAGGTAGACTTCATTTAGCAACATTTCAAGTTCTCTTCCATTAAATAAAGGGTTTACAATCCATATAACTTTTTAACGTTTACCTTTTGAAGGCAAACTTCTTGGGATTTGGTGGATTTCTTGAAAGAATGAAACAGAAAGTCCAAGATAGGAAAAAAAATAAATCCCTTGCCCTTCAGAAACATGTTTAGCATCAAAAAGGTGTTTAAGTGTCAATATGGCGGAGCCTTGAACGGCAAAGAGGTCTGAGGAGCATTAAGATAGATATCAGGGGCACATCTAGCGCCAAGAATACACAAGGCTGACTCATTTCAGCTGTTCTAGAGTCAATATCACTGGCCACAAAACCTACTGTTCTAGGCCTTTTATATGTAGCCATTTAGTCTTTGACAGTAGTTAGCGATGCTTTTGCGTTCCAAAAATGGTATAATTTAAAATGGTTCTTTTTTTTCCCAGGTGGTGCAGTGGATATTTCTGGCGGGGCTCTGCTGTGTCGGACCTCATGACGGAGTCGTCATGCCCACAGCATACAGAGAGCATAAACACAGGTAAACAGTCACACCCAGTCTTTTACGTGGTTTTGTTCTTAAATTGTTACAAAAAAACAACCGAACATCAACAAAATATCAAGATATATGTTTACAACCTCTCAGTCCAGTGGTGCTGCCGTTTTCTGTACGCTCCTTTCCTTACAAAATCATATGGACAAAGGAAATTGAAAAAATAAATAAGAATGACAAAAATTGATCAACGTCCAAGCCCCTACCACCACCCCCCAAGTCTCGCACAGGCCCCCCCCCACTCCGCTCTCCTTTCTCCCTCCCTCCTGGCTTGTCCTTTCTTTCTTTCTCGCTACCAGACTGTGGCTTCGTTCATTTCCGAGGGCGGGTGTGACAAGTGGTTGTTGTATCCGCTGCCGTTCAGAGAGAGTGAGGTAAAAGGTGGGCTCGGCCCAAACACCTCGGAGGAGATGCTGTGCAGGGGCCCCGGGATGCCGGGCTCGGGGCTGGGCGAGTCGCCGGGGTGATGGGACATGATGTCAGAGAAGCGCTGGACCTCACTGGATGGGTGGTGTCCCGGGAGGGGATGGTCCATGCCCCCAAGAGGGGTGCCAGTGGGGCCAGAGGATGGTACGAAGGGTAGATCCACGGGGGTCTGAGCCTGTGAGGATGGGGGTCCCTGGGGGAAGAAGTCGTAGTTGCCACCAGGACCGTAGTATTCGCTTTGATAATCTGATAAAAACAAAATGAAAATATCAGGGTAAGACTTTGAACAAAGGCTCTGTTATAACACTGTTTTGGATTAATCTGTTTTTTGTCTCGATGGGGAAAGTTTTCTTTACCACATTAGTCACAGAAAATGTTACACTTAAATCAAAATTAATCTTGGGTGGAGAGAACATTTTTTTCCAGAAATTAATTACAAAAAACATTTCATTAGTGATTTTACCTTCTGATAAGTGCTTTATGGTTAAAAAAAATTAATACTGAGAATAAATTCATTTTTTAAAATTATTTATACTTCATAGTCTTTTATTAACAAGATAGCAAATTTTGATCATTTTTGTTCTATATGCCATTGTCTAAATATGACCTCAAACACTGATAAACACTTCAGAAGGCCTGTATACATATTTAATCTTTACTTTATGTTTATGTAGTAGAGCATCTGAAGAAGGACAGATGGATGGATATTAATTTTGAAAAATAAGCTAATGAAAAATTATACTTCTTTCCATCTGAAAAAGTCCTCACAGAACTGCAGATGGTAGCTGTCGACTTTAGTTAAAATGGTTTAAAAAAAAAAGAAAGTCAATGACTCAATGGTTTCATCATCTTACAGGAGCTGGGTTTGTCTTTGCATTAAGAGTTAGCCACGTCTCAGAATGAGGTCTAAATCCAGGCTGCACACTGACACACACGTCAGCGGTGGGGAAACTGCACTTGGTTTTCCTGAAAGCCTGTTCTGCCTCCTCACATAGCAAGAGAACAAAAGCTGGCTGCTGGGAGGTCTGACGGCCAATCGGCCCCAATGAAACTGTCTAGTTACAAATTAACAGAACCGGTCCGGATGGAGATTGCAGGCTTTTCCCAAACTGAACACCAGCCCCAGGAATTTGCTGTAGGTGTGTTTCCCATTACTGTCGGCTGAGGCGACGTGCCGACACAATCACGAGAATCAGGTATACCTGACACTGATTACTATACCAAAAATTAATGCCTTAAATGTAGGTTTCTAAATACTACCATAACAAGAGACACCACAACAACATCAATAACAGCTTCATTGATGTTACTGTTGTTGAAAGTATTAATATTCTTATTGTTACTCATATTATTTCAGTCCTTGTTTCAACAGTATCCATATCCCATTCAGTAGTGATGTGTAATGTTCAAATTTCATACACACAGACACACACACACATTATATGCACGTACACACACGCATGCGCGTGCCCACACACACACACACACACACACACACACATATGCTATAAAAATCCGCTGTGCATACCATACAGACAAGTATGAAATATTACTAATATTACTATTAGGTTAATAATATATAACCTACTCAATTAATAAAATATAATTTTATGGTAGTCACGCATTTTCTTTCAGTTCAAGCTCCAGCAACCAATAAAACTAACGAAAAGTGTTTGTCACTCATTTTAATTTGAAATGTTACTGAAATTGCAAATTCGAACCTGTGTAGGCCTATTTTAAAAAACAGCTCTTACTAAATGTTTCACATGTCGCATTTGGACAAAATTCGTTCCTTACACGATAGGGGACGCAATTGTCCGCATTTTTGTTCTGTCGTTTCAAATACATACGAACCCATACACATTTCAATAGTTTAACTCGTCGTATGCTTCTATTTAAATTATTTCAGTTCATAAGCCATCGCTGTTTTTCTGAGCGTCACGGGACAGCAGTACAAACAGAAGTAGCCGTTAGCGAACACGTGTTAAATTACGCGCACTTTTCACAAGAATGTGAAGCCACAAAATCTCACCTCCGTAGTAAGAGAAGGGGCCGTTCGGAAGAAGCTCTCCGGGTTCCAGTCTGTCCACCAGCGTCCTCATCCGCCTCGGGCTTCGGAAGAATGCATGTCTCCTGGCTCCAAGAGCACTCAGCTGCTTCATACGCCGCTCTTTGGATCGCCGGTTCTGGAACCATACCTGCAGAAGACATACCAATGTCATGAATGTACATAACCAGACCAAAGGACAATATAACATATTGTACAGGTTTACTGCTTGAGACCTTCCAAGAAAAAAAAAGCGCGGCGGCGACTACATTGACAAAAAAAAATACAAATTAAAATTTCAAAATATGTAACACATTGTAAAAACATTTTTTTTAATTCAAGTATCATATAAACAGACGGCATGAACTCGTTGAAATATCCGTTTTGTGCATCACTACATCAATTATAAATAGGCTAGAAAATAAAACTAAGACACAGAATTACGAACGTAATAAACAGATTCTGCATTTCTAGTAAAAAGGTTACTTTCGCCGAAAAACTTGTATCTTTTTCCTTTTATAATAAAATAAAACATCGGTAATTAGGCCTACATATAAGACGGCATGGCAACGTATACAACCATCAAGTTAAAATAATAAACGAACGATATAGGCCTAATAACCCCTAGACATATGAAAAACATTTTTAGCCTATGACAAATTATCAAAATGAAGACGATAGATAGAACAATAAGTAGGTCAGATATAGACCTGTAATGATATATTGACAATAAAAAAACACGGTACATCGCAAGCTACTGTGTCACGAATAATGTTAATAATAATAATAATAATAATAATAATAATAATAATAACCCTATGGCGTCATCATAAACCTCCGCCACTGCACGTTACTTTAGTTGATTTATTTGTACCTCCCGATGCTGCGTGATGCGCAAAGTGCTTTCAAGTCTCGACTGGGATGAGTTGATGTGATTGAGTGAATTCGTATTGCCGTGACAAGATTACTCCTAATTATCGTCACTCCGAGACTCTCAGATCTAACCTCACTTTAATGATCTTTTAACCCTCCATTTACCCCGACAGTAGGGCTACACCAAGGACTTAAAATCTCCAATTAATACTTAATAGGAGGGTTGTTACCGATATATTAACCGGCTCGGCGAGGTTATTATTTCGTAATCTATATATTCATCCTTGAATTCCGACTGCTAATTATACTTTACCGCGACGTTCTTAAATATCTAACTCCTCCACCCTGTTAATCTCGTACCCTGCTTTTGACTTGAGCTTTCTGTTCGTTTTACATTAATCATTACCTTAATACCACGTATCCACAATAATACCTATGTATATGTTCTTTAATATATTGTAGGTAAATATTTTCATCGCATCCAAATTATTAATACAAACAATGTAGCCCGCTTTTCATCTTCTCTCGTTACCTTGAAAATAAATAGCCTGCAGCGTAAAATCAAACCAAGTATAATAATAATAACAATAACAATAATAATAATAATAATAATAATTATTATTATTTATTATTATTATTATTATTATTATTATTGTTATTACAACAGTATTACTACTACTACTACTAATAATAATAATAATAAAAATAAGAATAGGCTGCTACAAGTACCACGACTATTAATCAATATCAGGTCATGATCATCCTTGTTATTTTTCACCATCTTCAAGGCCGCGACAGCATTCAGAAATTTGAAACAGATTTGTGCGTTTCCACTTGACTACGTAAGGGCCCAGCAGGCCTTAAATGTTGTCGCAAAACGTGATGCCACCCTATTGCCAAGACTCCCAGCGTCCGCGGGAGTGTCACGCCAGTTGGCATATCTAACCGTTACTCTAGCCAGTTATCTAAAATAGCCACATGAATATTCTTTGAAAATACGAAGCCAAATGCCAAATATTTCGCTTTTGAATTCAGTGTGACATCCTCCGATGAAAGCATGCCCCCGGTCTCTACGATTTCCATACAGGCGATTATAGGATTTAAGTGATTTGTAAACGTGTTCGGTGTCGGTGGCTGTTCGGTGCGCGGCGCCTCTGACACACTCGAAACATGGAGAGAGGCCATGGCAAAGGACAGCTCTCCTCGTGTGCCCCTTCGACAGCCCGGGCGTCCGGTGTGACACTTTCCATAATATAACAAGCCATCATCATATGTTTTAATTTGTTGGTAGCGTTATAAGACGCCTAAAGCGCTGGGAGTTAATACCCGTCCTCTTCGCCCGGAAGACTATTGAAATAACGGCGAATTTTCTCTGGCTTTTTGTGTTTAGGTAAATTAAATTCAATCAAACCTGGTCCAAAAGCAAAGTCATAATTTACAGTTAGTTTTAAACGTGTCACGGAAAGAAAGACAAAACGCTGCAAATTTTTACAAATCTTACTGAGATAATATATTGCGCTATCTCTGCATATGTGTATCCTTTTATCATCCTGTAATTTTTGTGTTATATACTTATTTACAGGTATCTGGTTCATTTCTTGCCGGTGGACTATTTCCGTTGTACCTGAATCACTCGCATGTTGAGCCCCGTCTCCTGTGCTAGCTGCTCCCTGATGTGTCTCGTGGGCTTCGGGGTGGCCGCGAACGCCGCCTTTAGAGTCTCCAGTTGCTTGGCTTTAATGGTGGTTCGCGGCCCGCGTCGTTTACCGCCCAGATTTTGGTCGTCATTTTCATTGTTTACTATTTCTTTGTCAGACAGATTCGCAATTTCCGAGTCTTTAACGTCGTCTTGCAAGTGATCTTGAGAATCTGGAGACAAACTGGGGTCACTGCACGCCGTAACTGTTGGAAAAATATATGATAAAACATTAAAATCAGAATATGATTAAATGTAGGCCTACTTTAGATTAGGTGTCCAATGTATTCAATATGTATTTTCTATATTTATATAAAAATCGCCTGTAATACAAATACTACGAAGCCAGTTTGATGAACAGAAACACACATCAAAATGTTTCAAAAGAAAAATTTTCTTTTGAGAGTAAAGTATTGTCTATGAACGCTGATGAGTTGGGAATGGATATTAAAATGATTATTTATACGACAGCCAAAATTTTAGCAGTGGCCTAAATGCCTCGTCACGCAACTGACAAAATTAATAGAAATATGCCGTCACCACGTAAAAAAATCCGCATATCCACACGAAACATGTACAAATAAAAATGTTGCGGCTCAGGAAAATGTAGAAATGCGGTGATCAGATTACATACTGATTTAAATACTTCTTTATATATCTGAATATTGTTTGGAAATCGTAACTGAACGGCAGTGCATATAAACATATTTGAATACATGTGATTAAAATGGTTTTAAATTACTCTTGATAATGTAATGATAGTAGTGTTTATTAAGCAACATAAAATTAAATAAACCAATAATTTTGTACATGCTTGCTGAATTAAGCTGGCTTCCTTGCACCGGCATCTCGTCGTACCTGAGAGGAGGTTCGCGTCCTTCACGTTACCGTTGCCCAGGTAATCTTCCTTACAAACAAATTTGTTCTCGTCTATGATGTAGAGTTCCTCCCCGGTAGAGAGCTGTTTGTTGCACATCATGCAAGTGAAGCAGTTCAAGTGAAACACTTTGCTCCTCGCTCTCCGCACCAGGTCGTTCGGCGAGATCCCCTGAGCGCAACCTGCGCATTTAGTACCGAATCGCCTGCAAAAAGAGAGCGAAGAAAGAGACGGCGGAGCAACGTTAGCTAAATACTTGCCATTGTGAACAAATAAAAATAAAAAAAAACATTAACAAACTCTCGTGGATTTCATTGCCATGACGCTTTTTAGGAAAGAAATGCGAAAAGTGGTTTCAAGCATAAAAGTCAAGGAGGTTTAAGTACAGTCATATATAACATCGTGCTGGGGTATGGAGATTATTATCTCCGGGCCAGTTTGAATGCCGAATAATTTTGTTTCAGCAAATATGTAATTCTACAATTTTGTATATAGGCAACTGACACTTCAGTCACTCTTGTCTTCTGAGGGATAACAGGACCCCGTTGTTTGACAAAAAAATAAATAAAATAAAAATCCTGACGAACATCAATAATACACCGACAATATGCACGTAATATAGTTTTTTTTTTACTCTCAGCATGAAATAAAACTGGATACAATTATATTACAATCTGCTTTTGCATATGGTTGTGGAAAAAAGGATGTGAATAATTTATAAAAGAACACTGGATAATTACTATAATATATATTGTATTTCAGTCTTATAAATTGTCTTAACCCGATAAGCCAAGCGTTAGGTCCAACTAGCATTACCAGTCTTCTTTACAATAGGCATATAATCTTTTTTCATCTTCTAAAATAAAATATAAAACTAAATTACTTACATTGTCACTTCGCAAATACTGTCAGTTTGAATTGTAAATAAACATGCGAGATTCTTAGAAAGAACAACAATGATGCACAATTCCGGTAATTGTCAACTGTGTACATGCCTAAACAGCGCTTATTGAAACGATGCACAAATATATGTCGACTGCACGTCTGTGATGCTTTGTCTGCGGGTTTCCCCTTAAAAGTGGTTCATTATTCAAATCCACTTATCACATCTTCACTTGAACCGCGGCAAACACGCGAGTCTGTGCAGACAGCCTGCCACTGGGCCGGGTTACACTTCCTCCTGGAACCCTGGCGGAGCACTGATCCCTGCGGCTTCCCTGGCTCGCGCGCCTTGTAAACAAAGCGCAATTTCCTTAAAGCCCCTTACCGAGGATGAGCACACAGACTTGTAACGTATCTGCCCATTGCTTTACATAACAATACAAATTAACAAGCCTTTAATTAGTCGGTAATCTAATAAAAAGTTCCTCATATATCACTTCAACACATTTTTACACCGGGCAGGTTGCTATACCTTCTAAACGTGGAAATGGTCGGGAAAATGCGGGGTATTTCAAATAGTTTTCCACTGTCGAAAAACAGCAAAAATTCCGAGAAAAAAAACGAAAAAAATCGAAAGATCGCTCTTTTAAGTTAACTGACTGTCACGAAATTATATTGTCCTATTTTGTCTGATTATTGGAATGAAGGAGATTGAAAACTATATACACTATGCGTAATCAGGCACAACGGCAAGTTAGGCCTAAAATTGTTTGGTATGTTAGCCTTATATAATGTATGACCAGCATAAACATATTAGATTTTATCTTAAGAATGTTTCATACTGCTCAATAGTAATGCCATTTAGCATTTAATAATAATAATAAATGGAGTTTTAAAGGCTACAATTAAAGTATTACCAATTGTTGTTTAATGCTCTGAAAAACATCCCATCATAAAAGTTCAGCCTAGCTCAGAATTAATTAAACTTACCTGCAGTCCATTTACACAGACATTATTTGGGTAAGTTTGTGTTGCGTTTCAGGAAATGAGGTTGGGCTACCTATCAAAGATACTAAATCTGTTTCTTTAATTATAGTATAAATCACGCCGCCATAATAAAAATGTATATTCCATCTAAGGCGGTTTTATTACCGATGGAAGGAAATTCCGTTTTGTTTGCGTTTTGCATTTTAATGCAGCCTGTCCAAATGAAACAGTTTAAAGAATTGCTTGGGTAAGAAAAGAAAAGAAAAGAAAAGAAAAGAGAGGTTTGAGTCAAGAGCTTACCTAAAGAAGTCGTTTTTACAATATAGTTTTCCCTCCCGAGAAAAACATTTCTCCGTTAAATTACATTTGCACTCACAGCACTGTACACATTTGACGTGCCATGCTCTGTCCAGAACATTGAGTAGAAATCTGTCCAATATAGGCCTCTCGCACCCAGCACAGTGAACCATCGTCTTTGGACTTGCTCCCACAAATCTACTGTGGTACTCTGCCTTTTTCGTTTGATTGTTTAATTTCTTCTCGTTCTCTCTCTCTTTTAAAAGGGTTGTTTTCTTCTTATGACGGGATTTGGTTCTCTATCTGCTTGAAGTTCCTAGCGTGGTTGTGTTGACGGAAATTTTCAAATAACGGCGCCTCTCCTTCCCTCCTCGGTACAAGTCGTCAGCGAACAGATCCGTAGGGTCCAAACGGCAGGTGATGGTGGGAAAAAGATTAATAGAGTGTTCTCAGGTATGAGGTAGCACCACAGCCTTTGAAGCCTCGGGAGTCAATCTTCTCGTTCTTCTTCCATACAAATCAATGAGTCGGTATTAAAATATAAATTTATAGAAGTGAAGATCAAATCACCATCAAAAGAAATTCAAACCACCTCAGCCTGTTAGCAGTTCTCCGTGTTCGTCAAGGTAAAGCATTGGCGAGAGATCGTTTTGTGTGCGTAAATGCTGAAAATTCATCAAATTATTGTTTTTACAATACTGACATACAGTAGTACAAACAAGCCACGAGGCATAATAATATACTTTGTCATAACCGTTTATCCACTGGTGAATACCCGTCGAAAAACGATACCCAACCGTCTGACTAGAAGTGACTAGTTGTGCTTCCCCTCCGGTTCTGTGGTTTCCCTCGGTGTAGTACACGATGCTAGTGTTGTAAAAGCGCGTCTGTCATCTCCTTGCAGGACTGACGCTCCTCGCTCAGCCTTCAGTATTCTGCATGTTCCTGAAAGCACACGAGCCAGCCTTATTCACAGCTTCGTGACGTCACGCTCTGCTGAAGCCAATCAGCGTCCTGCCATCCGAGTAACCATTAGCCATCTCGTCCAAGCTCTGCCGGTACACTCTGTACTATTTATAGGGAACAGAACAAACCAATTGTCAAAAATCTCAGAAACTGTCATATGTTAGTTAATATGGTGGCTCGACTTTAAAAAATACAAACGGTCTAGGTGAAAGAATAATTATCCGTATGGTCACGGAACTATTTGGACGTCTTTTGGACTCATTTGACAAGGTATATATGAATAACAAATCTGAAAGGTATTTATTACCAAGTTTATAAATGTGTACAATTCGTAGACGAATATACGATTGTTCGTCTGAAGGCCTGAGACCAGTAACCTAATATCCGTAAATAAGTTCAGTTTCTCAGTGGCGTTTCGTTATAGGTTATGGAGCATCATGCCGATTATTAGAGAAAGAAGCAAAAATATTCAGGATTATTGGTGTGTTTGACTATAAAATACGAGGACAAATTATTATGACTTTGCTTATCAGGACGGCGGATGAACAGAAATACGCATCCCTTTGAATTTCCTGGTTATAGAAATCTGTGTGAATCTGCATTGCAATAGACGCAATAAATCAACAAAAGACAGAATGAAAACGGGCGAAAAAACGCCAGTTGTGTCTTCAGTTGTGTAAATATGTAAAGCAATAAAGCGCATGTAATACCCTATAAAGAGACTGCATAGCTATCTGAGTCACATGCTTCGTAGGACCTGAAAATAGAAAAATGACCGGGGAATTGTTTTGGAATTCGAGGTCTGCTTTCAGGAGCGCGCCTACAGGTAAGTCCGCTCAACTAAAAAGTGATTATTTACGTTACCTTTAAGCCGCCGCTTTTGCGTCATTCTTAAATTCATTATCGATATTTTTTTCATTTTACTATGCCACTTTCATACGGTGTGCATCTAAAAACGAGGGGCAAAGAATACAGTTCTAAGTTATGCGTAGATTGTCATAAAAGTCTGCTCTATGGTGCCCAATTATAATAAAGTCAAAGCAATTTGTTTTAGTAATATTACGACTGGAAATTTCAATGCGCGTATTAATACAGACAGAATCTTGGCCCAGCTATTTTCTCCTTTGCTCTTTTGTCGGATAGGGCGGAAAGTGAAAGACGGCTAGGTACTAAAGTTTACAGGTTGTTAGATCACCCTGACACCTGCTGATGGTTTCGACACCTTTGCATGTTTAATTAGGACTGTTAAGTCTATCCATCTGAAATACACGAATCAACATCCAGAGGGCACCGACATTTTCTTGTTTTAATAACATTTTGCCGATGATGATTCACTTTACTCTGAACCTGGCGTTCAGCGTTCCAAAAAAGTTGGGGCGAAAGGAAGTCGTTGAATCTTGATCCTGGTAACAGTTACATTGTTACTAGGTATTTTGAAATCTAAACTTAAAATCTAAAACCAAATTTAAAAGACTATAACGCTCAGGTGTCTAAACAAAAAAAAAGAAAGAAATCGAAGTCTTTGAGTCTATGTACACTATACCAAGTACGGTAATCGAACAAATATTTTTATGTTCATGAAACGATAAGTATATTAAACTGCTATTATTTATTGTCCCGAAAATTTACGTGACCAGCTAGCCTTTAAGAATGTTTAAACCTTAAGAATGTTAATCTGTTTGCCCTTACTATGAGTCTTTACCTTTTATTTCACTTCAAAACAAGGGAAAACCCAGCATGAACATATACTACACTAAATAACTTGTTATTTTGACGAAGATACCCACAATAACTGCACATTGGCTTATTTAATCGATTTATATTGTGATATTTCATGTTAAGGTAGTAGACATGGTGCCACCGCTCGAGCTCGAACGTTTTCACAAACAAGATCTGAACTTTCCACGTGAAACGAGCCAACCACACGACTGCTTGTTTGTGTGCTTTTTTTCTGCGAATGGACAGTACAGCTGAGGTATATCTTAGTTGCACCTAACATTTTTATTTAACCATATGTTTCCTAAGCATACACAACACTTATTAAACCACACACGACGAACTCACTACAACAATTACTACCGTCATGCTATAATATAGGCACATAAGCGAGAAGAGACTCTTGCGTGCACTGTTAAAATACAAAGCGCCATCCTTTCACATAAGTACATCCTGACGGGGTATAAATTGCCGTCTGAAATCTGCAATCAATGCAGTCCTGCCTCGTGCATATGGGGCGCTTCTCGTGTAAGGCTGAGTGGAAGGGCCAGTCAAAGCTGCGACTGGCCCTACAGCACAGCGCGCGGCGGTGACAGCTGCCGAGGATCGTCTGGGGAGCGCTTTCTTTGACTACGGGACCCTTAGATGACATGTGTTGTTGCGGAAAGAATATCAGATAAGAGATGAACACACAACGTCTTCGCGCCCCCGCATCTTTTCCCTTGTTTTTGTTAGACGCCACCCCCTAACCCCCTTGCTCGACCTCTTACATGTGACTGTCTGTCTGTTTGTAAAGTCTGCGCCGAGCGTATTTTAATTCATCTGCTGAGCATCTGGTTATGTCTCCACTAACGTCGCAAAGAGACGAGAAGGAAGGGAGGGGAAAACAACAGGAAGGCTTCTGAAAAAATCGGAGTTTTGGCAGTTAGTCGACAAAACTCAGCCATTACTGACACCTTCAGAATTCTCAAGTCAAATCCGTTGTACAGGGAGGTGAATTTTTATCTGGTTGGTTTGGTTTCGGTGAGTTTCAGTGGTGTGCTGAACACAGTTTGGTTAATAAACTATTTTAGTTGAAAAAAATCATTTAAGTCTATCATTGTTTATAATTGAACATGTTATCAGCTGAACATCAAGTATATGACAGTATTTTTCCCTTTTAAATACTAGGCCTACTACTGCTGAGTATGCTACACATATTTCTGACGAATGTGATAAAATATTGTAAAGGCAGCGACGTTATTTACTCGATTACATTCTCTTATTTTCTGAGGCGCATGGATTCCCTCCAAATAAGTTACATGTTAGCCTCAGAATGCTTATTTGGATCAGTTCATCCTGGACACGATAACACGTGAGATTAGTCAGATAGTTGAGATGGCATGAGACGTGTGAGGCGATCCCATTTGTGGAACTGGAGGGGTACGCAGAAGCATCGAAAGGGGGGAAATGCTATTTTTAAGTTTTAAGAAAGGTGTTTACATAATAAAATATATATTTATATCTATTTACCAACGGGTTATTTAATCTAAAAGTAAAATTTATTGAACTATGCCTATATGTAAGCGGCTGTTGAAAATATTACTAATAGCATAATAACCCGGCCATCCGTCATTATTAATATATTATTCACCGTAATGTTATTATGCATTTTCATGACTGAAAAAAGGCATGCGTTTTCCCCCTTCGCTTTACATTACTGAAACCAAGGCAGCCGTGAGCAGGGGAAAGGCTAGAGGGAGCTATCGATCGAGAAATGCACGGCCCCAACGAAACAAACGATAAAATGCATGCCAGCCAAACACGTGCCCAGGATCACGCGCCCGCTTCTCCATGTAGAATGGGCCTACCCTGTTGTGACATTTAATAGCTTAAGGGGCTGTAAGCAATTTTAACGTCGGAAAGGTTATTATGTTGAATTGCTGTATTGGCCAATGTACATTCAAATTCGCTTGCTTTCTATCTGTGACGACACGGGACAAATATCAATACCGGCAACTCCTGCAGATCGGCCTTTATGTTACTACTTTGCATACCCTTCTGTTACCAGTTTACCTTCCTTTCCTTGTGTCTGTGTGACGTGGCGTATTTAACGGTCCCCCTTACACAACGTAATTACACTGCCAGATTCACAAGTATTAAACAGAATAGGAAATATCGACAGACTTAAATCCGGAGGAAAATGACCCGCTCCCATAGTTCCCGAAGGTTCAAGTTCAGTTGAATTACCATTGCACTTAGCTTGCAGTCATGTAAGCAGGTATGCAGCACGGACCTAATACCACAAGCAATCTCAGCACCAGCTGAAGCTGATTTTAGACTACACGTTTTAGTTTAGCGATTTCTATCGCGAGCGCACATAAGCCAAACCTGCTAACCGCTGCATCGTCAGCATACATATAAATGATTCTACGCACTGTAAAGAATAAAAAGCATTTGGAGCTGAAACTAAAATAATTAGATATTGAAGTAGGCCTACATGAATTAATATTTCGATATATAAGATCTGTATTAATAAAATTATTTAAATGGCTTTTACCCTTTTCAGTCATTGATTGGAGTAGGCCTATGATATGTGTTGCCTACAGTATCACACGTCGATTTCGTCATAGATATAAGAATCTGCTCCTTCATGCATGGAACCAATTTACTATGAACGGATAAGACGAAAGTTTTAAATAAGGCGATGGTATTCAAGTACATAAAATATCAATGGTGCTTTGGTGTATGTATATATATGGTATATATATATATATACGACACAGCTCAAAATACCTTAAGTTTTTTCATGACTTTTACTGAAAGTAAAAGATTAATGAAACATTTACTTATAAACTGTATGCAATTGAAAGAGAAAAGATTGCCGGAATAATCATTGAGTACGAAATGCAACCTCTTACAGCCTCTTAGTTTAATAACATATATACTTTTATCATTGTATGACTGTAGGTGACCTTAAACCCAAGGAGTATGACAGCATCGTGCAGTTTGTGATCGCAGGCCGTGCAGACTCGCAGTGACTCTTGTAATAAAGTGAGAAATATTACCCCTGACTCGAGCTTTGATCAGCTGAGCGCGCGGTACTGCCGCGAGCTGTGACAGAGCGGGCCTATGAGCAGAGGGCCTCACTTTGCAATGCTCTGCTTTCCCCCTCCTGCCATTGTTTATTTGTTTATGTACTTTGTTTTCAATCGATCTATGGATTTAAGAAAGGATTTAGTGCAATTTATGCACACGCATAAAATCATAGTGTATGGTTTTAACCACGCAGTTAAGTTAATTTTTATTCACAATAAACTGGAATATAAAGAGCTCTTCTGTAACGTGCGATCTATTACCGAATACCTACATAAAATGTAAAACAAAAAACAAATAAATCCAATTAACAATAAACAACTGAATAACAGATCGTAAAATACATTTCATTGCAAGTGATTTAAATTTAACAGACGGAAGCAATATGGGACACAATTAAACTAAGCATCGCACGTGGCAAATACTAACAATTATTTGTAAACAAATCAGATGCTTACTTAAATGCAGCAAATTGGTGC